AATCTGGTCTTTTTGTTGTGGGGCGCCAATGCGCAGGCGCATGCCTCCTACATCGACGCCAAGCGGCACCTCATACTGCGCGCACCACATCCCTCTCCTCTGTCTGCCAGCAGGGGCTTCTTCGGTTGTAAACACTTCAGCCAAACCAATGAGTATCTTCGTCAGAATAAGAGGACCCCAATAGACTGGACTGACCTTTAATACCTGCCCGCAAGCCGCCCCCGCGCTCTTCTGGTCTACCCTCGTAGTCGGGACATTTACATTCCAACGAGATCTTTTTGGTCATCTCTGAACGTTTTCCTACACTTACCTAACCTATTTTTATACACATTTTAAGAACATTTTATAAGAATGCCCCTTGTCACAATCATTCAAAGAATTAAAGCTATGATCTTCTAATTGCTTTTGTCACTGGTGTCCGTACCCTTGAAGAGTGTACTTTATTTCGAAAGAACAGGGAAAAGAGTTACCGACTCCGGTGGATCCGTGGACGCCTCTTCTCAGCCACGCAATTGCTGAGTGTCAGCTGAATGTTAGCTTTATAAATTCCAGTCAGTGCGTTCCAGCGTTACCGATGAGCTTCAGGGTGGATTCGTCGAGACCTGTCGTATGGTCGATTAAGGTCTCGGAGCTCGGCGCCGCGTCTGGGGGCATCAATATGTGTAGATTTTTCAATAATCAAGGATATTAGTTTACCACGTTAGATTGGGTCTCGTGGAGTGTGACTTTCGTCCCCCTCGTAGATAGCGTGAATGTGTATAAAGCTTGAACATTTGCATAAATGGCGCAAATTTGTTCATAATCAAGCCGTCTTTCAGTGCACCTGCTTCACATCCACCCACTCGTAGTAGCAAAGGATGGTCAAGACTGAGGACCTTGTTGCTGAGGCGTTACACAGTCCGTAAACGCCTGCCATGCATTATCCTACTTTCAACCTTGCACGTGCCAGGCTCCGGTGAATGAGTGTGGACCGCTTACAGGCGTAACCACAACGATGAGCCCCCTACGATAGCATGCTGTGAGTCCTAAATGGGTTTGATTTCGCTCTTCCGGGTACCTGTAGTCTGAGTGAGCTCGCGATTGAATGAAAAGTGGAGCCGTTGGCCAAATAAACGTAA